GGAAGACCAGCTCTGAGCTAACATCTATTGCCAATCCTCCTCCTTTCCACCCCCCAAAGCCGCAGTAGACAGTTGTACGTCATAGTTGCACATCCTTCTAGTTGCTGTATGTGGGACGCGGCCTCAGCGTGGCGAGAGAAGTGGTGTGTCGGTGCGCGCCCGGGATCCAAACCCAGGCGGCCAGTAGCGGAGTGCGCGCACTTAACCGCTAAGCCACGGGGCCGGCCCCAGGGGCTCTGCTCTTGATGGACACTCAGCCTGGAATACATTTCCCCTTGATATTCACATGACTCATTCCCTCACTTTATTCAGGTCTCAGCTCAAAGGTCTCAGACAGGCTTTTCCTGACCAGCTGATCTAAAACAGCTCTTCCTACCATTCTCTGTCCCTTTAGATTACTTCATTTTTCCTTAGAGCACACGGGACATTATATGTATTTGTTTATTTGGGGTTTTTTGCCATATCCCCCACTGGAGTGTAGGCTCCATGAGGAACTTTCTCTGTTATACTCTGCCAGGCACATACTCAGTGCTCAGAATTACTTGTTGGATGAATGTTTTGGCATTGTGTTAATGAAGTTATATAGTAAATGTTTTTATTTTGACAGCTCAAATTGGTCCTCCAGAAGTGCATTTAGAAGCTGAAGATAAGGCAATAATAATCAACATCTCTCCTCCTGGAACAAAAGATGGTGTCATGTGGGCTATGGATAGTTCCAGCTTTATATATAACTTAGTTATCTGGAAAAACTCTTCACCTGCAGAAGTAAGCATTATTTTTACTTTTGTTGGAGGTGAGAGGAAAATGATGTGAATTAGTTCTAAAATTTGACATACTTTTTTAAAGAACAGACTTCTATTTTTTTTTTATTCTAGGAAAGGACTGAAACTGTTTATCCCACAGATAAAATTTATAAACTCTCCCCAGAGACTACTTATTGTTTAAAAGTTAAAGCAAGACTACGTATGCAGAGAAAGGTTGGTTTGTATAGTCCGGTGTACTGTATAAATACCACAGGTAAGGACGAAGTTTTGCTTTGTATTCAGTAGCTATGTATACAGATTGGCCATCTGTTAATTTTGACATTTTCCCCATAGTTGCTGAAATTTATTTAATACATATTAAAAGAAAAGCATTATAACAGCATTTACATCAGCAAAAAAATGTTATTTACGGAGGCGGGCCCGGTGGCGCAGCGGTTAAGTGCGCGCGCCCCAGGTTCGCAGGTTCGGATCCCCGGCACGCACCAATGCACAGCTTGTCAAGCCATGCTATGGCAGCGTCCCATACAAAGTGGCAGAAGATGTTAGCCCAGGGCCAATCTTCCTCAGCAAAAAGAGGAGGATTGGCATTGGATATTATTAGCTCAGGGCTGGTCTTCCTCACACACAAAAAAAATGTTATTTGGGTTTTTTTGTCTCAAGTAAATAGTAATGAAAATTAATTCTGCTTAAAAGTCAAAATATTTTCTAATAACAAAAACTGTTATTATTTGTTTAGAATCCACCTAAAAAGGGGGAGGTAGTTGCTAGAAGAACAGTTAGTTTTCAAAAGTATACCTTGATAAGTGAGATGTTAAAATAAGAAAGCCTCCTGATGTATTTAATCAGTGATGTTTTGCCAACAATTAAAGTCAAGGGTAGGAAAATTTATAATTTTCATTATAAATTTAATATACTTTGTTTTTAAAATCGAACAATACAGAAGGGTTTAAAGTTTACCTCACCTACCTCCTTACCCCCAAGTTCATTTAGCAGAGATACGCAGTGCTAGGAGTTTGTGTATACCCTTTCATACTTTTTCAGGGCTTACATAAGCATATACAAAGACATACAGTTTTTTTGTTTTTTTTAATTAAAAAATAGGATTCTGCTAGATATATTTTACAACTTGCTTGTTTAATGTAATATTTTGAGGACCTCTTATATGTCAGTACATATAGATCAGTCACATTCTTTTATATGGCTGCATAGTATTACATTGTGTGAATGTTCACCATAACTTACGTATCTCATAATGATAAAATATAAGCCTTTTATCTTCCTGCCCATGCTGTTAAGAATTCTTACCATATGCTATGTCCCTGGAGTTAAAATGTTTGCATTTTTGTGTATTCTTTGTCTTCTAGTTGAAAATAAGCTGCCTCCACCAGAAAACATACAAATCGATGGTAATAATCAGAACTATATTCTTAAATGGGATTACAAATATGAAAACCTGACTTTTCAAGCTCAATGGCTCCAGTAAGTTCTAGTCCATAAATTTCCTTTTGCCCAATTTATTTTGCCCAGTTTATTATGCTTCTTTTCTGCTTCTTTTCCCTCCACTTCAGACACCTGCCGCTCCTTCCACGTGTGCTGACCAATGAAGAGGTGGTTCTGATAATATTGGAAACACAATATTTAATTCTAGTCCCAGCTCTGCCAGTAGCTAACTAGATGACATTGAGCTAATTACTTAACCTCTTTTGCCTCAGTTTCTTCATTTTTTGTAAAATGAGTGTATTCTAATAATATCTAGTGTTCTTACCTGCTCTTTTTTAAAACAGTGTGACTTAGTTGGATGGGTTTTTTCCCTAGTCTGGAATACTTGACGTGTGCCCCTGATCTTTCCTTCAGACTTCACTTCTTCCGTGCGTTGTTGAGATGATCTCAGTCCAGTCGCTCTGACTTGTTCAATTCAAGTTACCCTTCTCATTTTCTTGATTATTTTAGTGCATTTGACGGATTTTTTAGTGATTGCTTTAGTGGGAAATTAAGAAAGTTGGAGAGAACTGTGTTGTATGTGATGGAGTAGAGACTAGCCAAATATGGATGGAGTCCAAGCACCAAGTACATGGAAGAGAACTGCAAATAGTTCATATTGATTGGAAATAAATAGAGATAAATTGTAGGGGATAAATAGAGAGGGAGCAGAGAAGAGGAAAATCAAGTGGAAGGAGAAGTGGATTATGGGGAGAAAAGGGATGGGAAAGACAGATCTATCAAGGGCAGAGGAATAGAGGGGCCAAAGGCAAGTACAGCTAAGGCAGGAAAGGAAGAGTGAGAAGACAGAGACGAGAAAGAAACAGAAAAACAAGGGAGAAGGGACGTCAGTACTGTTGTGATCCATTTCTCTCCATCCTTTAGTGTTAGTTTTGAACCAAGAACAGTTTGTATAGTGGAAACGCATTCATGTGCATGCATGCCCCTCAATATATGTATATAAACTCACAGGCTGATCAGGAAACTGAGCAGTAATCTGTTGTGTATACTTCACTTTCCGGAGTCTGTTAAATAGGGCCAGAGGCTGGAGAGGGTTAGGGGTTTCTTTTTTTTGTTTGTTTGTTTGTTTGTTTATTTATTGCGAGGAAGATCAGCCCTGAGCTAACATCCATGCTAATCTTCCTCTTTTTGCTGAGGAAGACTGGCTCTGAGCTAACATCTATTGCCAATCCTCCTCCTTTTTTCTCTTTTTTCTCCCCAAAGCCCCAGTAGATAGTTGTATGTCATAGTTGCACAGCCTTCTAGTTGCTGTATGTGGGACGCGGCCTCAGCATGGCTGGAGAAGCGGTGCATCGGTGCGTGCCCGGGATCTGAACCCGGGCTGCCAGTAACGGAGCGCAAGCACTTAACCGCTAAGCCACGGGGCCGGCCCGGGTTAGGGGTTTCTAATGGCTGGTCTCTAAGTTTCTTTCTTTTTTTCTTTCTTTTTTTTTTTTTTTTTTGCTGAGGAAGATTAGCACTGAGCTAACATCTGTTGCCAGTCTTCTCTTTTTTTGCTTGAGGAAGATTAGCCTGAGCTAACATCTGTGCCAGTCTTCCTCTATTTTGTATGTGGGTTGCCCCCTAAGCATGGCTGCCAATAAGTGGCATAGGTCCACTCATGGGAACCGAACCTGGGCCGCCAAAGCGGAGCGTGCTGAACTTAACCACTAGGCCACGGGGCCGGCCCCCTCTGAGTTTCTTTTGGGTACTTGGCACACTGTACAAAGCACTGAAGTAATTGTAAAGGTGCAGTAGAATAAAACCCATGATTCTAGAAATCCGAAGCAGTTAGCTGACACTGCATAACAAAGGGTGATTTAGGACTGAGGAGTGGTGTACAGGTTATAAGGGTTATAAAAGTCGAGAGCCCAGCCCGGTGGCGCAAGCGGTTAAGTGCACGTGCTCTGCTGAGGCGGCCCGGGGTTCACTGGTTCGGATCCCAGGCACTCACCAACGCATTGCTTGGCAAGCCATGCTGTGGCGGTGTCCCATATAAAGTGGAGGAAGATGGGCATGTATGTTAGCCCAGGGCCAGCCTTCCTCAGCAAAAAAAAAAAGGAGGATTGGCAGATGTTAGCACAGGGCTGATCTCCTCACAAAAAAAAAAAAAAAAAGGGTTATAGAAGTCGAAAATGTAAAGGTAGATGGGGCTAGAGAGACCAGAGAAGCCATTTGGAAGGAGATGAGGTGTGAACAAGGCCTTGATTACTGAATCATATTTCAGGGTGGACAAGAGATGGCATCCTGGGCAGAGGCTTCAGCACAGGGCAAAGCTCAGAATATGAAGAGACTTAACATTAGTTTGGGGCAAGGGGGAAGAATTCATTTTCTCTTGCCCTGGAACAAATTACCGCAAACTCAGTGGCTTAAAAAACACCGTTATTATCTCTGAGTGAATTCTGGTCGAGAGTCCAGGCGCGGCTTAGCGGGGTCTTCTGCTCAGGGTCTCACAAGTCTGCCATCAAGGTGTCAGGCGGGGCTGCGGCCTCATACAAGGCTCAGGGTCCTCTCCTAAGCTCCTGTGATTGTTGGCAGAGTTCATTTCTTGCAGCTGTAGAGCTTGTGGGGGCCTGCTTCGTGGAGGCATCGAGAGACGGAATCTCTGACCTCTAGACTCTTTTTCAAAGGGCTCATCTGATTAGGTCAGGCCCACCCAGCATAGTCTCTCACATGATTAACTCATAGCCAACTGACCTGGGACCCTAATTTCATTTGTAAAATCCCTTCACCTTTGCCGTACAATGTAACCTAGTCAAGAGTTCACGGGTCCTGCTCACGCTCAAGGGGAGGGGATTCTACAGGACGTGTGCACCAGAGGGTGGGAATCTTGGGGGCTGTCTTGGAATTTTGCCTGCCACAGTCAGGAAGACCTGCTTTGAGAACAGCAGACATTTGGGCGTGGGAGAGCAATGAGGGAGAAAGTTGAATAAGCAGTATGGGATAAGATTAGGCTGAGTCTCGGACTATCCTATAGGCATTGGGGTGCCATTGGGAATCTTGTGTTGAGGGATGGGTAACATAAGGTCTGTATTTGAAGAGGGTGAAGATGGCCGCGTTGTACGTGGTACAATGGACTAGGGAGACACTAAAGACAAGGGAACCAGTTAGGAGGCTGTTGTAGTCCCAGGCTTGAACTCTGTCCTTTGAGCTGTTGGTTTCTGAGCAATTGACTTAACCTCTCCAGGCTCAGTTGGTTGCCCATACTCTGTTTGGCTTGGTCTTACAACGCTCTGGTATGTATCTCTGTTACAGCACTTACCCATTGGTGTGCTGGTACATGTTTAGCAACCAGCTTTCCAGAAGGGAAAAGCCTTATTTGTAGTATTTGCCAGTTCTCATGATACAAATACACCCACCATGGCCGCTTTCAAGCTACCAACATGATGTCACTGAAGATGGAGTTGGGAGGAGAGGCATAGTAGCATCTCCATTATGTAGTATTTCCACCATAGAGATACAATAGACATAAATAGCTTTGAGCGTAGATAATAAAATGTAGTCGAACAATTAGGGCAAGAGGAGTTTTGAGTATTTATTACTTTTTAATACAATTTATTTATTTGTTAAGTGTATATAATTTAATTTTTAATAATAGCTGTGTTTAACGACTGGGTCACAGCATTCCTGAAAATTTAACAGTTGTTTTTGTGTACGGGTACAAGCCAACTCTAGGACACCACTCCTTTATCACACTCTGGAACAAGATCTGTGGGGTTTTTTTGTGTTGTACATGTGTGTCTTCCACTGTATTGTGAGTTTCCTGAGGGTGGGGACTGTTTTTCTCTGTAGCCTTAGCCCCTAACAGCGTGTCTAATGTATTATAGGTACTCACTAAATATTTATTGAATTAATGTGTTTGGAATAAAAAAAATTTTTTTTGTCTTAAAAGTGCCTATTTAAAAAAGATTCCTGGGAAACATGCAGATAAATGGAAACAAATACCAGACTGTGAAAATGTCAAGACTACCCAGTGTGTCTTTCCTCAAAGTGTTTTCTCAAGAGGAATTTACTTTATCCGTGTACAAGCATCTAATGGAAATAGCACATCTCTTTGGTCTGAAGAGAAAAAATTTGATACTGAAATACAAAGTAAGCCAGTAGTTTTTTCTTTAGATTGTAATTCTCTGATTTGGTGCAAACTCTTAAAATTGTTTTTCTTGTCTAAATTGAACGTTGCATCTTTACAATTTTTTCCTAGCTATCATACTTCCTCCAGTTATTAACCTGAAACCTGTTAATGATTCACTGCGTGTCTATATCGGTGCCCCAAAAGAGTCTGAAAACAAGTCTGTGGACGAGGATTACCCGCTCATTTATGAAATTATCTTTTGGGAAAACACTTCCAATATTACGGTAAAAAGACTATGTAGTATAAGTTTGCAATTTAGAGTTATAACTGTGATTTGGGTAAACTAAGCTTGAAGTTAAAATTTTAGGGAAATTTTTAAACTTTAAGACTATGTGATTAACTCACATATTTACACTAGGAAGAATATTAGCATTTTCCCATGTTTTGCGTGGTAGAGTTATCACCTGCATCTGGCCCCAGTTGGTTTTTAAAATTCAGATCCCTGGGCCGGCCCCGTGGCTTAGTGGTTAAGTGCACGCGCTCCACTGCTGGCGGCCCGGGTTCGGATCCCGGGCGCTCACCAACGCACCGCTTCCCTGGCCATGCTGAGGCCACGTCCCACATACAGCAACTAGAAGGACGTGCAGCTATGACATACAACTATCTACTGGGGCTTTGGGGGAAAAATAAATAAATAAATAAATTCAGATCCCTGAGCCCATTCCTGCCCAGTCAGAATAGCTGGGGGTAGAACTTAGGAATTTGCATTTTTAATGTGATTCCCAGGTGTTCATCTAAACCAGGGTTTCTCAACACTGTTGACATTTGGATTGGATAATTCTTCATTGTGGGAGCCGTCTTGCGCATTATAGGATGCTTAGCAACATCTCTGGCCTCTGCCCACTGGATGCCAATAGCACTCCCTCCCAGCTGTGACAACCAGAAATACCTCCACACATTGCCAACTATCTGCTGGGGCAAAGCACCTCCAATGGGGCAGAAATTGGTTCTTAGGGGCAAAAGAATCTTAGATATTACAGTGGCTTGTGGCCCCCCAGGAGGAAAGCATGCCTCCGAAGTTCAACTTTGCCCAACAAAATCTTGTTCCTTAGTATTCAACTTCTTAGTGAGGGAGAGATTAGAAAAAAATCATCTTAAAAGGCTCCTGAAGGAGTTAGATATGAAGAAAGTGTTGAGAAACACTAAAAATCAAAAAGCACTGACAAAGATGAGACACAACATCAGATAATCCATATTATTCCTATTTCCCTGTGGAATTGCAATCAAGAAATCAACCTTTAAAAATCTTGTGCAGTTGAGTTGGTAAATTCCTTCACTTTACTTCGTTTTCTGTTGGAAATGTAAGGAAATTCCAATGACTTGGCTACTTTCATTTAACTATCTGAACACGCTGTAACCATAGCATAATTGAGCCCATTGAGAATTATGGTCAGTTATAAGTTGTCTCTAGATCAGGAAAACCTAAATTTGTGTCTCAGGCTACCATATTGTGTAACCTTGGGTAAGGTACTTTACCTCTCGGAGACTTTGTTCCTCTTCTCTAAAGTGGTGGTTGTCATAGTAACTAAGTGTTTTTGAAAGGATGTTTATAAGGTTTAAAATGAGTTAAGATATATGAAAATACCTAGCACATTGCTTGACAAATAGTAGAGATTCAGTAACTTGTATTGCCATCCTATCCTATGCTGGATAATACGTAAATAATTATAATGATAATAGCAACTCATATTTATTGAATATTTATTACTTATCAGGTACTGTGCTAAGTATTTTACATGCATTGTCTCAGTCATTCTTCAAAACAATCTTGCCAGACAGTATGACCGATTGAATTACCGTTCAGCAAATACTTGGGATACTTAAATGTGCCTGCATGGTTCGGCTGGCCTCTTGTGCTGTTTCTGTTTACCAGAAGGAAAGCATGCTCCACGTGGTCTCTGTTCAAGGAGGATGAGAGACTTGTGGAGCAGACCTAAACCTGATCCACAGCCAAAAAAATAAATATGTTTCGAGCCACGGAATGTTTTATTACACAACGTTCTTTTGTTGTAATAATTTATGATGTTGTGTTATATAACATTATTGTGGCAGTAGCTGACTAATACAGATAGAGCAGTAATTGTCCTCATTTTACAGATCTGGAAGTAGGGCCCAGAGAAATTAAATAACTTCCCGGGGGCCACAGAGCTGTAAGTGATACCTTAATACAGGCGGTTTGAGGCCAGAACCCCTGCTCTGAACCGTTCTGCCACTAAGCAGAGGTAATACAATGGCAATTGAATAAAATCAGCATGTACTTATTATAAATTAGAGTTGTCTTAGGAATATATCAGATTCTTTTCGGGCAGCAGCGTTTTTCACTTTCTGATTGGGTTATGATATGTTGTCCTAAACAAATTTATATTTCTTAAACATAATACCAACTAAGTGTTTGGGTGAGCCCAATCTTAGATTGAATATTTAAAGAATTCAGAAAATAGGTATTTGCTATCTGATTTTGTGAGGAGACTAAATTTTGTTAATGATTTACCTTTTATTTTTTAACAGAATAAAATTGTAGAGAAAAAAACTGATTTTACTTTCCGTAACTTGAAACCGCTGACTGTTTATTGTGTCAGAGCCAGAGCACTCATTCATTATGAAAAGTGGAATAAAAGCAGTGGTTTTAGTGACACTGTGTGCGAGAAAACAAAACCAGGTCAGAATCTTTCATTATGTCTTTTTAAAAAAATGTAACTAGACAGTAAAAATAACTCAATTTATTGAAAATTATAAAATATTTCCTTTTTACTGAAAAAATAAAGAGAGAATATTTTCTTCATGAACTACATGAATCAAAAGTAGACCTTCAGGGCCGGCCCCGTGGCTTAGTGGTTAAGTGTGCGTGATCTGCTACTGGCGGCCTGGGTTCGGATCCCAGGCGCGCACCGACACACTGCTTCTCCGGCCATGCTGAGGCCGCGCCCCACATACAGCAACTAGAAAGATGTGCAACTGTGACATACAACTATCTACTGGGGCTTTGGGGAAGAAAAAAAAAGAAAGTCGACCTTCAAGCTGTCTTCCAGTTTTAGAAAATACTGTTAATACTCAATTCAGTGTTTTTTGAATGCTTTATATTTTATCCAATATCCACGTCATTAATTTCCTTCAGTTATTTTTCTTTAGCATTTAATAAGACTTTGTAATTTTTTTACGTAATCCTTAGTAGAATTATCATGTGGAAATCACTTAATTAGTTCAATTGTGAATTTTTTTATGTGGGATTGGTTTAGTTCCATCTTGTATGTTACAGTCTGTAGTGCTGACTTGTACGTGCTTAGTCACAGGGTGTGTTTAATTGTGCTAGCTGTACAAGAAGGAGGGCTGGAGAAGACTTAGCATGTCTGGAGTTTTATGTCAATATTGTGTCCTTCACTAAGGATCTCTTGTTTCACTGCCTGGGCCTCTCCTTAAACATAAATACCATTGCCTACACCTGTTGTGTGCGCAGTGCTATCAGCAGTATTCCTTAAGGGTATTATTTAATAGATTTTATATTTCCTTTCACATGGCTAGTCTTTCACACAAACTGTCTGCGCTATTAACATATTTGTATGTCAAAACACATATTGATGCTAAACAGCATTTATTTTGTTTTTAGGAAATACTTCCAAAACCTTACTTATTATAGCTGTGATTTGCGCTGTATTACTTAGTATCCCAGTGGTCGTTTATGTTGTGAAAGTCGTCTTGAGATGCGTCAAATATGTGTTCTTTCCATCAAGTAAACCTCCTTCCGCTGTAGATGAGGTACGTTCCTTTTCTTTGTCAACAGCTGGATTTTTCTTAAAATGGAAAATATATTTGATTTCAACAGAATATATATGTTTTCTTGATTTTCAGAAAATAATACAGACTGATTTGGGTATTTTCTTCCAAGTTTCAGTAAATGAACTTTAGAAACAGTCATTTAATAGAATATAGCACAGAATAGTGAGATTTGTCCTTAATCTCGTATTTTTCTGGCAGTTTGGCTACCATGGCGTCTGTTTTACCATTGAAAGTTTTTGTATTCACCAAAAGGCTAAAACATTAGCATCAGTGCGGAAACTGTATTCAGTGGAAGAAGTCACAGAAAATGAAATAACACAACATGAATTTTCTTCCATGACACTTCATGGTTTTTGTGTGACGCTCCTGTGAGATCAGCATATTTAGCGAAAGCGCTGAATGATGAAGACCTAGGCAAAGAATGTGCCCTGGGGGGGTGTGTTCCCCGAGGGGTGTTGCAGGTTGCCTGCCTTGAGAGTATGCTCAGGAGCTCAGGTGCTGGAGCTGGAGAGACCCGAAGGTGAATTGTTGATAAGCTGTGATATCTTTGCACTTGAGCTCTGTGAACTTGAGCAAATCACTTAAGTGTACTTGAGCAAGTACCCTTAGGCTGTGCAGTGGCTCCAATAATACTACCCCATGGAGTTTTGAGGAATGAAGGAAGTCAGCCAGAAAGGCTTAGCACTGTAAAAATGCTCCGTGAATATTAACTATTTTACTCTCATATCCCTGAGTTTTTAAATATCATTCCTATATACTCTAATAGTCAGCTGTCATTTAAAGAACTGAAAACTAGCTGGTTACAACATCTGATTAATCTTAGTTGAACAGGGAAAAATTAATTTATCACTTTTGCTTCTTCTGGATATTTGTGGATTGGATACAAAAATTTTTATTCTTTCATAATAAAATTTCCACAATCCCAGTGCTCTCCCCTCTCCTTCCTCTTCCGTGCTCTTCCCCGCCCTGCCCCTTTCTTGGGTCCTCTTCATATACTCACCAAAAATGACATTAAGCTGTAAGTCACCTCACTAATGATGGTTTTATTCTAAATATTATAATGCAATTGATGTGCTCTTAGCTGACTTTTTAATATGCGTGCCAAAGGATAGGTTTTCTAGATAATAGACTTAAGAAACTAAAGCTGTAAGAACTAGAAAACTAATTTTTATCATTTTAAATAATCCGTTTCTATTTTTTGCCTTTTTTAAATTAGTGTTTCTCTGAACATTTACTAAAGAATCTACTCCTTTCCACTTCTGCGGAGCAAATTGAAAGATGTTTTATAATCGAAAATACAAACGCGATTGCTGCAGTAGAAGAAACTAATGATGTTGATGAAGATTACAAAAAATATAATTCCCAAACTAGTCAAGATTCAGGAAACTATTCTAACGAGGAGGATAATAGTGGAAGTGGCATAAGTGAAGAACTTCTGCTACAGGAAACTCTGTGACCAGAAATGAACGCGCACACCTCGGGGCATTTTGTGGGAGTTACACTCGGAGTCTGAGCTGCTTGTCTCTCTCAGTAACTGTCAAGAGGATATGTGCTTTTTGGGGAAGAAAAAACATCTTCAGATCGTAGATCCTAAAAATACAGGCAAGAACGGTTTACAGATGGAATTACAGGAATTTGGAGAAAAGTGTTCTATATTCTTTTCCATGTGTGAAGTCTTGAAAGACATGTCGCTGGACCTGTCTTGGATGAGATGAGTTAAATCCAGAAGATGCCGTCTGTCTTTCTAATGATATCTCAAGGACCGCCGTGCCAACTGTTTTGTGGCTAGGGGCAGTATTTGTGTTCCAATCAGTTAATACTGTCGTGGTGCTGCTGGTTGCTGCGTATATCGTAGATTTGTTCTCCATTCCCAGTATTATAGTTCATTATTTTTCAAGAGATATTTAGAGCATTTGGTCTTTCCATTTGACACCAAAGGAGGCCCTTTGGAAATTTCTGTAGAAAAGCTGAATACCACTACCGCTGGTTTTCTAAAAAATAGCTTACTTCAGAAAACATCCGCAGATGCCAGAAACATGATCCTTAAAATTTTTCAGCAGAATTCTGTCCACTAATCCCAAGAACATTGGCTCCTACATCTCAGTTACCTATCCCTTCCATGGTTTAGGATTAAAACCAGGTAATCTTTTACTATACGTTAAGAGTTCCTGATTCATAACTTATTAGAACAATAGCTTCTGATTAGAATTTGCAATCACAAAAGTTACAGAGAAATGGAAAACTATCTAACTAGAGAAGTTACTATTGTTTTTTAAGATATGGGAGTATGTAGAGGTTAATCATGGTGCATGCAAGGAGCCTTGGGAATCAATCAATCAATCAGTAGCAGATGCTACTGATGTAATAGAGTAGGAAGTAGAATAATTAAGTAGGAAAGAAGCAGACGACTTTAGTGACGAATAGGAATAATGTGTATAATCAACTTTTAGTTATTAACATAGCATGGGGTTGTATAGCTCACCCTGGTGGTCTGCTGGTTAAGATTCAGTGCTCTCACCGTCGTGGCCCGGGTTCATTTCCTGGACAGAGAACCAAACCACGTGTCTGTTGGTTGTCATACTGTGGCAGCTGCCTGTTGCTGAAAGCTATGCTACTGGTATTTCAGATACCAGCAGGGTTACCCATGGTGGGTGGATTTCAGTGGAGCTTCTAGACTAGACAGACTAGGAAGAAGGACCTGCCACCCACTTCTGAAAAAATTGAAAACCCAATGAATAGCAGCAGCAAGTGGGGTGTTTGGGTTTATGGCTTCTCTGTGTCGTTTTTAACACCAGGCCAGCTTCTCTACACTGTCGGGCATTATTCAGGCATCCCTTCTGCTCAGCCCGCGTGTAGTCAAGGAAATGCAAATTATTTATTATCCAAGCGAAGGAGAAAATGTAACTGGAAAGAAAACCTAATTTTAAAAATTGTATAATGCTTTTCAAAGGCACCTATAGCTTACTTTTAAATAATTTGATATTTGGGGTTCTTCATGGAGATCCTTTGTAGGAAAGGAGTCTAGGAATTCTGGTGGCTTCTGAGGAAGAATTCTCAACGTCAGTTTTGCAGCAGGGACCAGGGAGGGGAAAAGAGAGGAAGCCACACAGCGCCTGCTGGGAAGGGTCCATACTGTAGGCAGTCTTATTTACTTAGTAGTCTCTGCCGAGACAATAGCTTCATCTGGGTGGAAGGAAAGGTTGAGGCAGCCGCCCTGGGAGGGGCTGTGACACTCAGCAGCCCTCGGCACATCACAGCTCTGCAGAGCACCCCGTGCGCTTTCCTGGGCCTGTAGTCCAAGCTTGGAGCAGAGTCTAGCAGGGATCAGGGAGGCCCAGGAACCCCTCTGAGACAGGGCTCTGCTGGAGAATCCCTCAGGTGACCTGAACATACTCACCTTTTCATCCTTCTGACCAGGGACATTTGGTTTAGAGCAGGTCATCTGGGTTGGCCTCCATTTGTAAAGGCCCTGTCTGTGGAAATTTGCCTCTTTAAAGAGGAGGTTAGGAGCCTGTGGGGCCAGCTTGCCACCACTGGCTTTCATACTGTGCCGATCCAAGGGTCCCTTCCAGCACCCAGGCCCCAGATTTCCTAGGGGGCTGCTTCAGACCGGATGTGCTAAAAAGGAACAATGGCTTTGTGGGACATGGAGGAGGGAAAACTCAAGACACTAAAATGAGAAGACACGATGAAATGGTTAGGGCCCTAAGATGGGGGGGTGCACGTCTTCATGTTTCAAGACCCTCTGTGGTTCTCAATGAACAAACATCTGAGCGGTGGCAGCAGCGAACGGGAACCCCCTCGTTTTTGCCTTGTCTTCTAGACCCGGAGGTGCACTTCCATTCCATCTCCATCGTGGTCCGTGTGTAGCTTAATCAGGCTGTGCGCACTTGTGAGGTGGTATCTTTTCTGAAGAATAGTTGACTTGGAAATACCGTGTACTTGGGAGCACCAGTAAACTGGCTCAAAATTGCAATATTGATAGTTCTTGGAGAGGCTGGATATAATCTAAGAATTTGTGCAAAAGATTTGTGTCATTACAGCCAGAAATAATATTACATTAATATATATGTAGATAGTGACATGGGTCTGTTAACACGTACATGCATACTTACACCAGTACATGCCTACATGTATGATGTGGGCGCATTCCATTAGTACGGCCATAAAGTACTTAGTGTAGATTCTAACTAGAAAATTAGAAATGCTACTCAGAACTAGAAACTTTTAGGGTCTGACCAGAAATGTGCAACCTATAAAAAAAGTTATTTTAAAAATACAGTTTAGGGTTTGTATCTTTTCCCCAAGCTGTGACCTCTAAAGCAGCCTCAGATTGCTCTTCAGCATTTGGAGTTTGCAGGAACATTCCTACCTCCCCCCTCCTCCCTGTAACCCTGTGACTCCTTGACATGTTCTATTTTTGTTTCGTCTGGTGTGTGTCTGCCCCCAGGAGACCGGAATGTCTATGAGAATGGGGACTGACTTTTATGCATTACTGTATCCTCAGCATCTACAGCACTGCAGTGCTTTGCACATAGAGGATGCACAGAAAATACCTATCAAATGAATGAAATCTAAAATCTGAACCAAGTGGGTGTTTGTGACAATGTTTATATGTTTTATTGAGTTATGGAAGGATATAACCATGTTTTCAATATTTTTATACAGTAAGCTTTTGTGTCTTATTTCACGTATGTTTTTGTGTCAAACCCTATTGCTGTAAATAATTGTATATAATAAACACTGAGGCCAAGTCTTTGATTTTATTGTTGTGCTTGAACTTAAACTTTTATGCACCAAAGGTGCTGCAAAAGATGCCTTCACAAGGTATTCATAATCGAGGGGCTGATGCCCACACCGAATGTTCTGGTGTCCGGCGCTGGGTGTCCTGAAGGAGCCAGCACTACCGTCACTGTCCCACAGTGCTCCTGGACAGGTAGCTCATTTGCTTGCTCCCTTCTTTTCCACGATCTCAACTCAAGACGTGGCTGGAGTGCCTGATTAAATGAGTGCGGTGGTGTTCCCTGCTCTGCTTTCTTGAACTAAACTGTTTTCCTTTTACAAATATTTCCTCTCGGAATAAGTTCTTCCTAAGGAGACTCCCCTGTCCCACATGTAAATTGGCCTCTCCTGCCGTCTAGACACATTTGAATCCGAAGTTGAACACAATTGACATTCAAACTGGAAAATTCTATGTTTGTGTTTTTAATGCACTTCCTCAAATTTTTTTTCAAAATGGACGGGGAAGCAAAGATTAGTAGATTCGTCTCTGATGCCCAAGAGATGCCCTGTTACTCAACAGTAGTGACAAATACCGGTAACATCCGGTTTTTTCTCACTACCTTTTCTCTTGGGGTTCGGTCATCACAGAATTATAGGTCTTCTGGGGCGCATATATATGTGTGTTTGTGGTGGGATGATGTTGCTGGAGGGAAATAGGAGTATCATCTACCTCACCTGAGGGGAAAAAGGCAAGAAGAGAGAATTTGTATGTCTTTCCTGCTAAGCATATAGCACTTTCCTATACTTCCTGTGATCTGTCCCCACTTGGAACTCATGTTACGGCAGAGGATGTCTTGTGGATGAAAAAGTCCTTGATGAGGATGAAGAAAAGAAAAAGTTGGCCAAGTAGACATTCTGGCTTGGGGAAAATAAAAGGTCTTGGGAAGAGGGAGGAGATAGAAAAATTACACCACTCAATCGCTGATTGAAATTAAACATTTCTTCTCCCAGTGACTCTCACCACCCTACTCCACCCCCAATCCTCCTTCCCAAGATTTCGTAGATCCATCAGAGAGGAAGGAGCTGACAGGAAAGTGAATGAATGAATAAGAAGGAAGACATTTTCCTATCTCTCTAGTAAAAAGATGGTTCATTTTTTCAAAAGATTGGAATTAGTCCTTAAATATATAGCAAATACCATAGTGTCTTTTTGTATACTCTTGTTTATTCTCAAATTTCATAATGCTTTAATACTCTGGAAGCTTACTTATAAAAAGATGATTAGGCCTGCCCTGTAGCATAGCGATTAAGTTGGCGTGCTCCGCTTCGGCGGCCCAGGGTTCGCACGTTCAGATCCTGGGCGTGGACCAACACACCGTTTATCAAGCCATGCTGTGGCAGCGTCCCATATAAAGTAGAGGAAGATGGGCACGGATGTTAGCCCAGGGCCAATCTTCCTCAGCAGAAAAAAGAAAGGAGGATTGGCAACAGATGTTAGCTCAGGGCCAATCTTCCTCAGGGGAAAAAAAAAAAAGATGATTATGAATTTTATAGAATAAAGGTACCTCATCCACTCTGAAATCTTTGTAAAAGACCTCCCACTGTGCATACATGGAGTCGTCATCTTCGTGCCCATCTGTACCTGCACGTTTGTCTCCCATGCTTCCTAGGAGAGATTTTACAGCATTTGCCAACGTATATCCCTTTCTGTTACATGGCAAGTGCCATGAAAGCAAGGACTATCTGCTTTTTTAACTTTGTATCTGACACTTGATAAGTGTTTAATAAGCCGTTACGTGGGGCGTTGAAGGCACATGCATTCACCGGATTCACCACTAGGGGCAGACAAGTCACCCTGTTCAGGTTCACAACTAGCTGGTCTTTTAGAAACAGATTCCTAAATGGCTGCATGGCAAGGAAGCGTGGAGAAGGCAGTGTGTAGCTGAAGACTGTGTATATCGTTTAGAGTTGCTAGATTTAGCAAACAAAAATACCAGACGCAGTTAAATTTGAATTAAATTTGAATTTCAGGTAAATAATAGTTTTTTTAGTATATGTGCCTTTAATATTGCATGGCACATATACTAAAATTTTTTTATTGTATAATGCTTTGGATACTCTGACATTTTACTTATAGAAAGAGATGATTATGAAATTTTTAGTATAAAAGTA